TAATATTCTTCTAAATTTTGCAGCTGGTGGACTTGGGCTCAGACCTGAGGGATGAAGTAACATTTTAATGCACACAGCAAACACTCATTCTGTGTTTGCTAATGGGTCACAATTAATGAGCACATGGAGCTGAAATGCCCTTTAAAGTTACTTCCAACAAAATGCCACGGATATTTAACATCAACCTTCTTTGTACGCCTTCAGAGTTACGTTTTATTGGTTGTTTAATATTCATGGGATAAAATGAGTATTGCCCCCTGTGGGCCAAGTGACCAGGCAGTTGTTTAGTTTGGAGCCCTGATGAAGAACAAAAAGAGCACACTGTTTGTTTACTGAAAAGCTAAGCTCCTCGTATAAAGCAGTAAAAGTTGTTGGCAACAAACAGTTGAGATGGAAAGACAATAACAACCCGGAGCCATCATGGTTTTAAAAAAAACACCCTGGGTGTGCCGATAGCCTTGCGGTTATGTTGTGCGCCCCATGTACAGAGGCTTTAGTCCTCGTCGCAGTGGATGTCCGACCTCAGCCCTTTGCTGCATGTCATTCCCTACTCTCTCCTCCCAGCGTCTCCTGTCTCTTTTCAGCTGTCCTATCTAATACACACAAAACCCTTAACCCCCTGTTAAGTTGTGCTCAGGGTGTTGGTCCTGGTCCAGATCTTGTCAGAAAAGATGTAACACTTTAAGATATGTCTTTGTACAAATGGAGTTCTTATCTGCAAGTTTGGAAGACATATGTTGAGTACCCTATAAACGGTTTGAAAGTCATGTAATTAGACATTGGTTAACTTTAAGGGGTTGTCTGTATACAGCCTCGCATCAAGCTAATTTGGTCGCACAGCAACAACATGATCGTTTTGATATGATGATCAGTTTGCAACCACCTGCCTCCTTTTTTATGTTTCTAGTCCTGTAAGTCGGATGGCAATGCAGTTGGTTGCAGCCCAGATGATGTCTGCAGTGTGGAACGGACCCGCCACCAACCAAGTCATGAAACCTCACGTGAGTACAATCTGTTAATGTCTGTGAAAAGTGTTTAATATGTCTTAACTCACACAGTGGAACCGATGATGAAATCACGTAGAAAATGGTCATACACATTTGAATTATTGGTTAAATCCTAATGTATTTAAATGATTCCGTGCTGTGGATTTACATTAGAGACACACACTGTAACCTTTCATGCCTTCTATTCCTCCTGTAAATAACCCCCATGGTTAATTACTGTTCTGGGTAATTATTCTTCCAGGACTCCTCTGCCACCCTTGGCTTTTTACAGTTTGAATAATTAATGTAATTAAAGCTGGTAATAACACAATAATCAACACGTCATCTCACCCATTACTTTTTTTGCAGTTAGAAAAAAAGTTTTTAAGGTGAGTCACTGATCCTGGGTGTGTTTGTCTGTAAACAGCAGGGCTACTCTGCCGTCTCCAACATGTCCCGGGTTCAGACGGACGTCAACCTGCCCCCTCTGAAGAAGCTTGCTCCACCAGACAGCAAGTCCAAGGAGCGCTTGTTTGTCGTGTTCAGCCCCTCTCCGCTGCCGCTGGATGTGCTGGAGGATGTTTTCTGGTAAATTTTACACATATTATATTAAGTATGAAACTGTAAATGTGTATTTTCTATGTCTGTCAAAAATGAATTCAAATGGGGCATCGGTAGCCTAGTGGTTCGTGCGCACCCCAGGCTGTAGTCCTACAAGTGGGCAGCGGGGGTTTGAATCCGACCTATGGCTCCTTTCCTGCATGTTATTCACCACTCTCTCTCCCCTCTTTGCATTAAAGTCTAGTGTTATGACAAATGACTCTGGAGAAGAGCATTAATCTTAATACTGAGTCAAGTTGCTGTTCGAATCATTCTCTAGATAGGCAGCATTAACTTTGGTTCCTGCTTTAAACCTCTATTTTTCTTCTGTCTCTCTGTGCTTGTCTCACTATAGTCGCTTTGGTTCCCTGATCGAGGTGCACTTGGTTCCTGGGAGGAAAGTTGGATACATGAAGTATGCAGACAAACAGGTGAGACTCTGAAGCAATGCCAGGTGAAACTTCAAATTAAGGATGTGAAGTTGAAATAACTCAAAATTTGATTTCAGAATAAGGACATGGATGGGGGTTAGATGAAAAGTTTGGATGTTTACAGGAGAAGAAATGGGACTGATAGTGATTTCTCCCTCAATAAACGTCCCTCTGTATGATCACGTCCTTCTCTCAGTGTGCAGACGAAGCCATGGCAGTGCTCCACGGTCGGGTTGTCAACGGAGTGAAGATGAAGGTTATGCTGGCTGATCCTCCCAGAGAAGAGTCTCACAAACGGCCTCGGACCACTTAGGGACCTGCAAGACAGAAAGACCGGTAAGTACCAAGTTTTCTGCTACAGTAGTATTTTGTATAATGATGGGCCAAGGAGTATATACACAGTATAGTGTAACTGTACTCTGTGCTAAGCTTGTTATGGGGTTTGTGCAAGCATCTCAGATACATTTATAACAAACTTACTTAAAAATATGAAGCCATTTGTTTTGATATGGCATGTTATAGTACAGTATACTTCAGGTACAGACTCTTGCTTGACAGTCTTGTACAGTGGTTTCCATGAACAGCCACATGTTTATGAAATTCTGACAGTCGGGTGATGATGGAACTGCAGTCTGCATAAACCATAAGAGTTCCATAATTTTCTCAAAGGGAATCATTAGTTATTATAAGATGTTTGGTAAGAAGGTAAAATTCGAAAGTTATCTAAAAATGATTGTTTTCTAGTAGTGGAGTTGATCCATTCCACAGTTCACGCTGCATGTTCTTAGCGGAGGTTGTGGAATATCCACTTCCATTTTAGAATAGTTAGTAGTCCTCAAATACTACATAACCTTTCCTTTACAAAACACAATCTAAAATGTTTACCTCCTTAAGTGTACATTCTTTGGACGAGTTCACCTGCAGTCTTCCACACTTGTTTGGTTGGAAAGCACCACTGACTGACATGTTAACAAGTGTCTGATGACAGTAGAGTTGTTTCTGCTCCTGTGAATAACACTGTAGCTTCTTGTTCCCTAGGCGACTGTTGTCACGACACAATGACACCTGACCTGACATACAGACCGACCGACATCAAGACCATCTCCAGACCTCTGACACGACCTTTGACACCTGTCTGACAGAACCCTTCTGGTCAGTGACCATGCTGGTACTCTCTGATAAACAGTATTGAGTGCACAGTAGCATCTTATACTCAAATGGAGTCTTAAGTACAGTTTGTGAGCAGCAATGACAATGTCATGTGTAGTTTGTGCTCAATGTCCTGCTTTTCTGCTTATTGTAAGTATATAAATTCTTCCCCAACACTGCTGGAGACTTCTGAAGAAACCTTCTTTTTTTTTTAAGTTAGATGATTCTAAAGAGTTTTGGTTCAAGATGTAGACAGCATCTTCCTCCTTAAAGAGTGTGGGGAGTAACACAGGATTTGTAAAGTTGGATCTGATCAACCTTGTTTTTCTTCAGGATCTGTCTCTTGTTTTTCTTTATGGTATGTCTTGTTATCACATGTTGATTAAAGATCAAATGTGTTCATCATACTGTGAACTTTTATTTTCTTGTCTCAGTAAAAATAAAGCTCAACTGCACATTCAGCCTGTCTTGTCTTTTCTTCTCCTGGACCTACCTGATGAATGACTTTACAGTTGACAATAATTATGTTTCACATGACTGGTTCATAAAAACCATGGTTAAAGGCTTTGCAACTTCTGCATTTTCAATAAAGTTAAAATCAGGCATGGATCCAGTTTGCATACAGTGACATACCAAGTGTTAATTAATATACATTTGTAACCAGTAGAAACTACTGTGGACATTTAAAATGAAAAAAATGTTTCTAAGTTTAATTACTCAAATATAGAATAATGACATGCTGCTCAACAAGCCTATCTGTTTTTCATGTGATGCATTAGTGTGAGATTAATAGCTTATGGAACAAACCAATGTTTCAGTTTGCAAACTTTAATGGTAAATGTGTTCATTACTATATGTAGCTTTGTATTAAAATATCTGAATTGAGTAAAAAAAAAAAACTTATCATTGCCAGATAAATCCCTAATTTTAGATTTGTAACAGGAAGTGTCTTATCAGCAGCAGAGAATCACTCCCATCATTTCCTGCCAGCATCAACGTCATTGTATTGATATAGAGCCCCCTCGCGGCAGAATCAACATACTGTGCCTTTCAACACTCAACGGACACTTAAAATATCTTTAGATGAATTGAGCATTGTGGATACTTACCATGAACTCATTGACATTTTTGTAAATATGTAGTTCAAATTAATTCTGAAATGAAACATCACTTGGACTAGATAATCAGTTTGGAAAGATGGCCAACTGTGGCAGATGTTGAACACACCGTAACACGGCTTGAGGAAGAAAGTATACACTTTCTTAAACACAGTTGATGATACCAATGTCTTTACCTTTAAACCTGGTATCATTTTTCCGCCTACAACTCAGGGCTAGCACAAACAGGTTAGTAGTGGTTGTATCTGCAGTACAAATCCGTGGGCAGTTTATGAAACCATACCCAGTTTGAAACATTGTTCAGTTAAATCACTGGGCACAATTTAGAAAAACAATTGCAGAGTGCATGAATTTGAAAATGGCTTTTTTTTTTTTTTTTACCAGAGCCTTCAGGAGTTTGGAAAGTCAGAATTATTAATTCTTTATCAACTTTAAGTTATTACTTGTGCTGTTTTTTGGTTTCTACAAACTCCTATTAAATACAAACCAATTATCTCGATCTGATGTTGGATGTTTAGCCGGTCAGGAACTGTTTGCTTTTTTTGAAGGGGGGGGGGGGGGCAGTTGCTATTGGAAAAAAATAAAACACACTGAAAGCCTTGACAGACAACCAAAACAGTGGGGTGCAGGACAAAAAAATCTTTACAGAAAGGGGTGTATAATCTCATGTGTGACTCTACATCAGCCAAGAGACACAAACTGGAAGTACAATAATATTTTATTTCTTCAGGAGGCATCTCATGAGAACTTTATTTACAGTACTGGGCTGGCAATGGAACCATTTGGTTTCCCTGCTGGGGTGAAATTATAGTATAAATCTGATTTTGGATCCAGGGCCAACACAAAATATTCATGAACAGGGCTTTAACTTGAGCTAAATTAAATGGATTTATTGTGATAAAACAATCATGTACAGCTTTTTTTTTATTTTGGTATGAGTGCAGGTGAGACTCTGAACAGATTCAGTTTCCTACAACAGAATCATTCCTGTTCATTTGACACATTGTTTCACTTAAGCTTACAACAGCTCCTTCAAACATCCATCAATAATGCTGATCAAGTCTTCTCACAGTCCCATCTAACTTGTTTAGTGCTTTAATCTGTAAGCCCTAACAATGTCTCACTCTAAAAATCACCATGGTCAATATTTTACTTGTGAATTAGTATAGAAGCCCAATTTCTCAAATACAATTTCAGTTTCGACAGTCTCCATTATTTTAAGCGACAAAAAGTGCACAACAGCAGCCAAATTCTCTTTCAAGAAAAAAACTGAGAAGCAACATTCATGTGGAGTTGGCCCTGGTGAACTTTGATTGGCCCTTTTGTAGAAATTTGAACACCCAATGGAAAGACAGCAGATGACGTGAAGGATGATACAGAAAACAGAATGGGCAGTGATGTGATGATATTGTCAGGCTTTATTACTGGAGTCTCTGAAATTAAAATCAATCAAACACCTGGTTGTTAAACTCCATGCATCCATCAGTCCCTCCTTTGTCACTAAGTCCATCTTACGTCCGCCGTTCCTCACTCCGCACGCTCGCTCTCAGTCCTCCAGCGCCAGTGTGTTGAGCTCCTCATCCAGCTCTCCAGATCTTCTCCTGTGAACAGGTTCTCATCCACCGGTACCTCCACCACCTCCTCCTCATCTTCCTCCTCCTCATATGCATCCTCCCCTTCTCCGTCCTCCCCGCCTCCTTCTGCTCCAGACAGCCCATTGGCCTCGGCGCCACCGCAAGCTCCATTCAGCTGCTCCTCTGAAGGTGAGCAGAGGCAGGAAGGAGAGAGGGACAATTGAATCGATCAAGTTTTGTTTATTTGTGTTTAAAAGTGCTCGTAATGTGCTCATCTCTTTAGGGTGATCAAAATGTATGTGATGGTTACAGATTTGTGTTCAGTCCACCAAGTATTCATCTTCATTAAGACAATTAGTTAGATATTCCAAAGTGCTTTCTTACCTTTATCTGATTCCTTTGGCTTAGTCTTGCTCCTAGATTTGAAACGGTCTGTGGCTGCTACGGTGATGCCGGTGTTGTCGACCTCTTGCGGAACAAAACGGGACAAGTCTATGTCCTGGACCTCAGCGGTATTGATCTGAAATGAAAATTGAAAACAAGATTTAAATTAGAAGTGACACAACAGAGTAGTTTAACTACATGAACTAACTCACAGGCACAAAAATGTCTTATTAGCTGAGAAAAATGCATCGACCAGAAATGTATTACCAAAAGGATTCATCAGGTTTACAACAAATAAGGAATAAAGTGAGAAAGGTTTGATTGTAGTTAACCCTGCTCAAATTTACAGCCTGGATCTACTCAGCACGTAACTTTACAACAGGTGCAGTTAACGTCAAAACAGTTTGATATGTGAGAAGGCAGACAGCAGCGATGAAGCATTTAAATACTGAAAAACACTAATTCTACACCAAAGAATGCTGCATCACTGCTTTATCGATCAGGGTTTATAGTGTACTAAAATATGGTTCATTATTTTTTGTTTGTAAAAGATAAAGAGGTTATGTAATGTCCAGGCCGTCCAGGGCATTGATGTCTGTTTAGGCTAATAATGATCAACTTTGTTTGTCCTCTTGTTAGTCATTCATGCAGTAATATAACAGCTTGTTATAGTGATTATAATTTTCACTGTAAAGCAGCCATGAGCACAGGAAGACATATTTTGTCTGTCTAAATAGGGTAACAATTTCAGAATATTTCAGGCCCCACAGCCTTACAACACTGACCCCACAGCACAACTGAAGTGATTCACTTAAACTGGCCAACAGTAAAAGACTTAAGTGCTGACATTAAAAACCTTATCATGCTGCAGATAGAGTGTATTAGCAAACTGTATCAGACAACACGAGGGCAGTTATTGTGCTGAGACACTGAATGGAACAAAAAACAATATGTAGTAACACAAAGCCAAATGAAATAATCATGGACTCTGAAGATATGACCGAGGAGGGGTGGAGGGGACTCCACAAGAAAAAGACTTGGGGCTCACTCACACTAGGAAAAGTAATCTTTAGCTTACATTTCTCGCCCCCCAAATTTCAGTAGCAACTAGGGCTGGGCGATATGGACCAAAACTCTTCTCTTGATCTTGATTAGCTGAATGGCGATACTCGATATGCATCAATATGTATTTTATTAACAGTGAAAACACAATGAAAATAAACTACCTGTTTGTGAATTTAAAAAGTAATATTCTAAAATAAAAATGTTCCTTAAATACAATAAAAGAGAGAAGAGGAGGAGCAGGGTTAAGAGGGACAGTCAGTCATCATCAGTGAGATGAGAAAAAGGTGAACTGGCACCTCTGTAACGTTATTTTAATGCAACTTAAACTATATAGATATTAACGATATTGTCTTACCCTATATCTTGTTTGAAAATATATCGATATATCTTAAAAACTCAATATATTTCCCAGCCCTAGTAGCAACCATCTGTTTCATGGAGAAGCAGTATTGTTTTTTCCGTAACAACTTCTATAGAGGCCTATTGGCCTATGGCTGTGGTTCAGTGGTAGTTTGATCTCTTAACCAGAGGGTTGGGGGTTTGATCCCCATCTCCTGCAGCCACATGTGCGATGTGTCCTTTGGTAAGACACTTAGTTAACTAGTTGAGTTAAAAAATGAGGTAATACTGATGGACACTTCACATAGCAGCCTCTGCCATCACTGTGTGAATGGGTACGTGTGATCTGTGGTGTAAAGGCGCTTTGAGTAGTCAGAAGACCAGAAAAGCTCTATACAAGCTCAAGTCCATTCACCATTTATTCATCTTCTATTATATCAGTCTAACTGAAACAGACAACAAGCAATTGTTCCATACTGTGCACTAGAAGCATCAAATGAAGCCCTAAATCTCTTCTTTTCTGTGAGCTAAAGCAGAAAGTATAGATAACAAAGCAGTCGAGTGATACAGGATAGCAATGTCAGGCTTTGTGCAGCCAGCTCACAAGTAGAAACTCTGGGTGTCAGTAGAGTTTTCATCTTTTTTTTTTTAAATAATTACCTCCTCCTCATTATCTTCTTCCTCACTGCTGACGTATTGCGTGTCGGTGGCTTCAGCATCGTCCTCATCAACCAACTCTGGGCGGAATTCGAACACCTCACGGCCGCTCACCTGCAGAGATACACATGATTTGAATTCAATCCTGTATTATTGTTGAGGTGCAAACATATACTGTAAAGTGAACAATGAAGTATATAAAGAAAGAGATGCATATACAAAAGATCTGCCCATCTGTCTTTCAGGACAATATAAGATCCTGAAACCTTTAACTCCTAGCCTGGGGCACCAACTTACTCCCAACCAGGAGAGAACATTCCCCACAAACACGCTATCTAGAAACCTTTGTCCACATACACACCCAGCTAAGGCCAGACTTACCACTAACGATCTTCCAGCCTTATAGTCCGCCTTCTTCTTCTCCATCTCCTCACGCGCTTTATCTATCTGTTAACAAAACAGAAATCAGTCAAAAACACCCACAAAAACTTTCTAACTCTGATTTAGTCGTGTAATAAAACATTGTGTGACAAAGTCCTAAATCAATAGACATTTCCAGAGGTTCATACAAGGGGTATACACAATGTGTTGTTGCTTATCTGATAAATGTTGTTTATAAAATGATGAAACACATTCCAACCTTCTCCTGCCTTTTCCTCTTCTTCCATGCCAGGAAAGTCTCCAGGGTGATTCGGGTCACATCAGGTCCTAGAGCGGCACGCTGCAGGGATAGAGACAGTCATCAGCATGTGGACAGTACAGAGTCAAATCAGTTCAAATGTCTTTTATTAATTACACATTTTCTGTGGTTATACTTTAATTTGTATGTGTAAAACACTATGTGTGTTTATTTAGAGACGCAACACAAATATAGTTTGTTTACTTAATAATGACTTGTGTGTCAGCTGTTTGTTCACTGCTGTCCTCACCTTTTCATCTGATTTAAACATCAACATTTCTACTCAAAGCTAAGTGTGGTTAGCAGTTGTTAATAAGTATTGAAACTATGAGATTTGAATTTATTGAGTGAAAACATTTTCCACATGCTTTAAACATATGTGGAACAAGAGACGAGCCCTTACCGAAGCCCCATCCAACTCTTATTCATCACACAACAACATGTAGCTGTTGTATTGAAGCTTTTTTGTTTCTGAATAGAATATCTGAAAACCTCATCTTTACCTCGTTCTCTATCAGCTCCTCCAGCGAAATTTCCTCCTCCTTCTCTTCCTTCTTCTTGTCTTTCTTCAGTACAAAGCCAGGCGGCAGGGCGTGCCGGTACATACAGACATCGGCACCTCCTGGACACACCCAAAACCAGCCGTACTTATTATTCTCTATGGCGTCCAGGAAGTGCTTGCACACCTGCAGACAAGAAGACACGAGTAGATCATGAAACATAAAGAACAGACAGGGGGGGGGGAAATAGTATCAAGTAATATCTATGCATGTGACTGACTCCATTTTTGCGTCTTCAAATTACTGAAAAATCACTCCATATATTTGGTGAAAAACTACCATGAGATCAGTGCGTACTCAGCTGACTCATCTAATGCTTAAGTGATAACAGGAATACACCAGAGATCAAATTTATGGAAAGACTGATCAGATCAGATCTCTCCATGATGCCCTTAATCGCCTCCATGGATTTGGCTCTCTCCAATCCTTTCATCAGCTTCATGTGCTCCTTTTAACTCAATTTAGGTCACCACTATAGACTGTATAGAAACATGGACAAAGTCTTCGGGACGTCACCCATTGGTTTCTGAAGGGCCCTTTGGAAAAGCCCATTTATTGCGGTTGCCATATTGGAATCACTGACTATGTCAAACTTTTGGTCAACCTTACAAAAGAGGGGAAGTTAAGGGTTAGGGTTCCACAACGTGGACGATTGCAGATAGACCACGCCCTAATCATGCAACATGTGTCCTTCATGAAATCAAAACAGGTCAGTTTCATTTTATCAACCCGTCACACTTTGAGTTCCTTAAACAAGTCTGAAGGTCGGTCTGCGAGATGCTGTGCAATATTGGACCTGTTAGCTCCCTTGGTCTGAGTGGGTTTATAACATTTTTTACACAGGGGCTTTGCAGTGTCCCGAGGGTTACCCTGACGATCAGCTGTGTAAGTGAAATAATGCCATATTTCGCTCTGTTGTCTAAAGATAAAGATAAACTTTATTGATCCCCCATGGGGGACATTTTTTCATTACAACAGCTCAAGAAAACAGGAATATAATTATTGCTTTGGCAACAAGCCATGGACAGCCGGCAAGACTAGCATCTGAGACGTTAGAAGCCATGGCTCTTGTGCTGCTTCTCACCACGGCGGTAAACAAATGTTAAGCACGCCCACAAGGCCTGTTGGGTTGTTTTGAACAGCTGGGTACTACCCTAGGGATGTGTATGGGACTTCTGGGTTTTTTGGAGCCAGCTTTAAGTGGACACTCAAGGCTCATTTTTTCAACACTGGAGGCTGCCGCTTGATCAAGACTGAGACATTCTTTACACACTTTTGGAAACTTTTGATTGACTATTTAATGCGACTTATGTAACAGACTTACAATTTGTGTTTTGGCTTTCTTCTTCTCGTTCTCTCCTCCGTGTTTTTTGTTGACCACCTCCTCCAGCTTCTTCTCGTCCCAGTTATCCATAGTGTCTGCAAGGGAACACAGCAGGATTGATTTGGGCAAGAAATCGAACAATTTGCTTCGGGGGAGTCAGGTGTAAACATGTTTTACTTGGAGAAAAAAAAATATATCAACATCATTTGCTTATTACTTTTGCTGAACCATCATTTCAGACAACAAATGTGTTTAAAAAATGTATAGAAATTTACAAACAGGAAAAAAACTGAGAAACTGTCATCCAGAAACATTGCTCAACACTACACAGTCCCCTGCACAATAAACTGACCTTTCTCCAGCTCTTCATCTCTTTCGTCCACATAAAGACTTCTCTTCTCACATTTCCTCTCCATTGACAAATCATGGCTGAACTTGCACTTGTCACCTTTAGTACACTGGCCTTGCTTAAAGAATGCACACAGCACCGACTTTGGGTCAACACCTTCAAAAAAGAGAAAAGAAAGAAACAATCATTGTACTGCTCACATTTCATGAACTGACACACAGAATAAGAAGCAACTTTTTGGTGTATTGTAATTCCCGTAATGGATTAACCTTCATCCATTTTCACAGACTGTGTGTGGGTTACCTTTGGCGACTTTCTGGGCAGCTACTACAGGTTTAAACAGCTCGTTGAGTTCATCCAACTCCTTCTTCTTATCAATCTTCTTACCGGTCTTGTCTGTTTCACCCTGCACAAACACATACACATATTTCAATGGGTGGCCATATTTTGTATGTATTGAAAACATCATGGCACACAGAGCAGGACCCCCACAGCCAGATGATGAGAAACTACTGACTGGCGGTGAAAAAAAAAATGTTTTCTTCTATGTCTCTTACAAATATGGCAATTTCACAGCTGAAATTTAAAATGGGGGGAAAAAAAGAAAAGAAAAAAAAAACAGTGAGAGAAGAATGTTTGAGTTGATGGAGACTGGTGTAGAAAATAACAAAAAGGGGAAAAAGAGTGGTCTCCTAACCGGTTTGGTGCCTTGTTGTTTGACTTGATGAGTGACGTTCTTGATGAACTTCTGCTGCTTGGCCCCTTTTTTGTTTTTCAAGCCAAAAGTCTTGTCCTAAAAAAAAAGGAAATAGTTACATAATTAACATCCAATAAGTACGTTTTTTTGTGTACAAATCCACAGAACACAAAAGATCACTGAGGAAACTCAGAAAGCGAGTTATAATGGCTACAATACACACTGTGAGTTTCAGACAACTTGAGGTTTTGGTATTTGAAGTCTAAATCTTTGGTGGTTGATCCAGTGTTTTGACATTGCGACAGATGCCGCCAACAATGCACATTCATAGTCTGTTCCAAAATGATTGTTCCCATTTTACCGGCCCTATGGGTATATCATACAGCATATCTGATGAACTATTCTGTGTTGTAAATGAACTTCTCTAAAACAGTAGAAAATAAATAACCTGCATTTCTTGCAAACAGTTTTTCCGCAGTGTTTACATTTGACTTGTTTTTGTTCTGCGTCGTCTTCCCTAAACACAAAATGTGTTCAAACGACGGACATTGCTTCCATGTCGTGGATTGGATGTGTCGCAACGTGACTCTGCTCTGAAAGCAATTGAAATAAACGACATTGGGAAAGATTAAGTCGGTTAGAGGTTCTTCTGAATGTCGGTTTTGGATTAATTTCCCAGCCCTATGTTCAACACATCTGTACCACTCTTCTCAGGACACCAACTTGTCTGCCCAGGCTGCAGTGCTCATAGGGAAAAGGTTTCCTCTCGCAGTAATTCAGCAAAAATATATGGAGTTATTCTACCTGAATTTGCCTCCACACAATGTGGTAAGACTCAGACAAATCTTAATATTAAGAGAAAAAAGTGTTAAAATTAAAGGAATCGTCTGCCAATAAGCATCTATTTAATTTGATCAGCTATCATTTGACTTCCTGATCTGTGCTGCTCAGCCACAGGACCATCGATTCAAAGTAAAGAACGATTTAAATATACAGGATGATTGTTAAAAAGAGCTCAGTAGTTTAACCACATATTGGGCTTTATAGTATTTAGCAATCATTTATCATTAATGAACAATAACTAATGAGTTTTCAGGGACTATATTCAGCCACCACAGATTATAGCCCTGTTCAGATGTGTGCTAAATTTCCAACTGTTTCCCAACAACACTGGGGGAATAACCTTTATGAGGCTTTTAGTTACCTACACAATACTAAGTAGCTCATTAAATGATAGATGATTCTGGTATTTTCATTTGAATTGCAGGCTATTAAAACACATTCTTCTAAATGCCATCATACCACAAACTCAGCACTGTAACAACTTGAGCTTCATCAGTATCACAACCTGTTGTGTAACAATACAGGTGATAAAGACATTCGCGAAAACAGATTCTTTATTTTTGACATACCCTAAAAGTGAACTAATTTGACAAAAAAAAAAAAAACACACCCGGCAGGCCGGCACATGAACACGTTGCAGTTCAATCTGTGCCATGAACAACAGGAGGCGGCTAACCCTGGCATGACGTAAACCTTTACACAGATCAATCCTGTGTGGTTTTATTACTATGGGAATCTCCAGCTGCTTTTAGAGCATCGACATTAGAAGTGCTCTAAGCTTTGACTCATCCCAAAACCTGCTTCGACATTACCTACTTTTCAGCCACCGAAACGGCTACAAAACGGGTCCCTCGTATGTCCTGCGGGCCGACCAAAGCCGGGCCTCTCATGGGCCCATATATGCCTCTTCAAGTATGAAAACAAAGCAAGCCAATCGTTTCTTATGCCATAAAGACATTATTTGAAAGACCCCTATTTTAACTACCGACTTCAGGGGCAAATATCAACCTTACAAAGACCAGTGTTCAGACTAAACTGAGGCAGCACGGCCCGACTAGCATCTTGACCGCGTCAGACTTTTGTAAAAAATGCAGGGAGCCTCATGACAGCTTGCTAACTCACTTGAGAACTGTTCACGGTAATGATCATTTCTGTAAGAGCGTTTCTTACTTCATCCAAACTGCTGATAAACAATTAGGTAGTGATGACAACAACCAGTAGGCTAGTTCAACTTTAAGAGGTTACACTTGTGTTAGCCGCAGTTAGCACTGACAACCAGCCAGTGCGGTGCGTTAGCTGCTCTGCCATCGCAGGACGCCGACATGCTAACTCGTGAAAGTATTACCTCAATAATCTTTTCCTTTTTCTTCTCTTGAGTCTTTTTATTTGCCGCAGGTGGGGCGACTTTCTTCGGAGGCATGTTGGCTCAGATACAGCTATGTATATTATACGTATAGCTGATTAAAAGTTCTTCTTATTCGGTGATTCAAATGGAAAGACAGCTCCACATTACCCTGTTGTTGCTAATAGCACCGCAACGGCGCGCCTAGGCCACATGTGCGTTGTTGGTGTGACGTGACGTCATCACGTATCCCGAGAGGAACTATGGGTACTGTAGTCGTGTCTTTGACAATGCTTGAAAAACATGTCTGAGACTGAAGCGCTGTCGCAATTCCAGTTTTTGGGAGTTTTAACACAGTGTGCGGATCCTTTTTGATTCTCGCCTTCAGTTTGATATATTCCAGCACCTGTGAAATGTTTCTTTGGATGTGCAAATACTAGTCTGCCTATACACTGTATAAATCACATGTGATGTGTTGTCTTTTCTGTTTTCGTTTTTACCTTTTTGCGGTCGTGCACCTAAAATGTAATTACGTTTTCAGTGTGCTCGCAGTTGAATTACTTAAATTTCTACATAGGCTTATGAATACTGATCAACGACCAGAAAGATGCTACAAAATGTTTGTTCAACTTCTAGTTTAGTAACAAACAGTCCACTATTTTTAACAATGGTATTTTTTTTACACCTTTAACTAGTATAAAAGCTGAGAATGGCCATGCTTGCATGTTGTATTGGTTTTAGCAAAATCACAGGTGAGACATTTTTGAAGAAAAAGAAGAAATGAGTTGCCATATCTTGTTTACAAAAAAATAACATGTTATTCCCCTATTTATTCACAATGAGATCAGAAGTACAATGCAGGTCGCATAGTTGCATTTATTTTCACCATGTAGCAACTCATCTATGTTGAAAATGTCTAATACATACTTTGAATGAGGAGCTGTTAATTGAAGCAGAGAGAATGGAGTTGGTTTATCTCTCATTCTTTCCTGCTAAACAAAACTATCTGCTCTTATGGAGTAGTTGCAGCAAACAAATTACACATGAATGCCTTGAGGTCAAACTGAAAGTGTGTTTTCATTTTAAAACTCTCAATCAAGACATATCATGACCTCCATGACAGGCAACATGCAGGCCAATTATGTTGCAGGGCACCAAAAGAACATTCAAACGCTATAACTAAACTATACTGAACTTCAGAAAAGTTTCCTCTTTCTTATAGTCCTATGAGATGAGGTGGTAGATTGTTCGAAAATTACTGGTCTACTAGAATAGCATCCGAAAAAGTAAAGAATGTGCATTCCACTTTTTTTTATTCATATTACTTTTTGTCAACTCCATGCTCTGAGGAATAACGGGGATTCGGGATTCACTCGTGGACAACTGTTATATGTGTTTAAATTGCAGTTTAAGTATTTAACCGCTAGGTGACAGTGTTGCAATATGTGCAAGTTGAGGTAAGTGGTAACTGATGACTGGGGAAGGTACTGGCTAGTTTAGTGGTCAAGTACTATCAAAAATGTGTACATATCTTTAGAGAGCACACAACTGGAATTACATTAAGAGCAAGAATAGGAAATTAAATCCTCTATAGCAACTGCCTGACTTTGAGCTAATGCATAAACTCTGATGAACGGGTTAAATTAAAAGAAATGTTTCATTTTTAGTTTGAAAAGGTTGATGATCACAGACTCGCCTTCCTACTTTACAATTTAAAGTTAATAATAGGCAGGTGTCTGCAGAGCTATTCTGATAAAATAAACTATGTCACGTTTATGTAATGCAATGGTACTTTGTTTAAGAAACAATTTGTGATCAAGGCAGTGAATCAAAAATCAAGGTTTGAACTCAGAAAGGAAAATGCTTAAGTAAGCCATGAATGGGGGAATGATTAGACCAAGTTTACACAAATACACTATTAAGAAAAACAGTATGGTGCAGAATATTGTGTTTTCAGTTGATTAACATCGGACTGAGTAATTATAGTGGAAAATGTGTTTCTTCCAGAATGATTTACAAATAATTGTCCTGAGCATGAAACGGCTGCTACTCTGTTACTTAGCCACCATCTGGCTTGATATACACTGTTTTATTAGCTCTTTCTTGCCTTCCCTTTTTTTGTAGTTGAATTACATATACTGCAGGTCAATTAAGACCCTCTTAGTAAGACTTTAACTGGCACAGTATTTGATGACAAATTTTCTCCTATTTGCAAACTATTGTTTTTTTTAATTGTCTCTGAGCTCCTTGTGGCCTTTTTAAATGGGGCGTGTGTGTGTTTGTGTTTGTGTGTGTGTGTGTGTGTGTGTGTGTGTGTGGAGGGGGGGGGGGTAGGGGTAGGACAAAGCAGAAAAAGAGGAATATTTGTTTGGTGTCTTTTAACCAATGGTATGAAGAAAACCCAGTTTTTGTAACCACAAGCGTGAGGTTGTGTCATGGCTGCAGGGTGGAAGAGCCGACCAGCAGTGGATTTACCGCCTCATCTGCTGATTCAACTTGATTTAATTAGATTTCACTTAAGTTACTAATGTGATTTCATTTGGCACATTTGACATGCGAGGCTTTCGTCCACATCCTGTCTCAGTTCATCGACCAGTTCACTACTCAGCCAGTTTGTGCGCGCGTGCGTGTGTGTGTGTGTGTGTGTGTGTGTGTGTGTGTGTGTGTGTGTGTGTGTGTGTGTGTGTGTGTGTGTGTGTGTGTGTGTGTGTGTGTGTGTGTGTGTGTGTGTGTCTGTGTGGAATATGGCACATGCACTCGTGAGCTGAAATGGGTCACACATGCATGCTCTTTTTGGGCTCTCATTTGTTCCTTTGTGTTTTAATGAGCCTTGGTTTTTCTGAGAGTAAAGGACAACATTAACTCAGTTTGGGTGCCCACATAATGACAGTACTAGTGGTTTGCTTTAATGAGTCCCAGAGTGAGACAATGAAATTACTCTTGTAACACCATCCTCGCCTGCAAAAACATGTCGTTGAGCCCTATATTAGCATCCTCTCTGTGTGTCCGTTCTGATATGACTTTATTTCAGATCATGTGGAGATCTTTATTGATAACATGGTTGTCATGCATGGCACCCTTCCACCATGCAGCTGAAGAATGCCTGTATAAATCTATATCGACACAACTCCTTACAACATGGCTGAAGGCTAGATATAAAGACAACAGAGGCGGGAAATATTGCCTGGAGCAAACTTTCTCTCTATTTCATTTTCCCTCCCCCTCTCTCTGTGAGGATCTTTGTGTGTGTGAGAGCAGTACCATAAATCACTACATGTGCTACAGGACTGTTTTCCCCCTTCCCTATAACAGCCTTCTTCATATTCATACAAACATCGATCTTTTCTACAAAGGGCCATGAGTGTCACGTACACACACAAACCCAACGCGCACACACATGAATGCACTTGAGTCCGCTTGCAGACGGAAAGAAAACATCTCCTGCCTAATTAGAAAAGCACAAGTCGATCCTCTTCCCGTGGCACCTGAGAACACTTGACACCACACAACCTATCGCAGCGCAATTTTTCTGAGGCGGTAATAGAAGGCATCCTGGGTTTCAGTCTGGCTCGGCCTCCTCCTGCTTCCAAGGACAAACTGCAGCACCTTGTCTGCACCGCTGACTGCTGAGTGGGTCATCGGCTGTCAGCTGCTCCCCGTCAAGCAGCTGCAGGACACCAGGGGCGAAGAAAAGGGCAGAAGAGATTGCCTCCAGCCGGGCCCACCCAGGTGACTATACCTGCTGCAGAAAGGGAACAAAAAAGCTTTACAGTGGAAGAAAAAAAGAGTGACCAACTGAAAAAGGACACAGACCTCCCATCATCTTACCTGCATTTACCTGCGCAGTTTGTGATTGAACACAGTCGCCTTAATGTTATCTCTACATCAACCACACCATTGGCTATCGTCGTACAGCAAGTTACAATTTAGTTAACCTCTAGTCTATGCACTGACATCTGCATTAAACTTCTGTTGACCATCTGGTGCTTCATGTCATCTCTTACTTCAAAGTCATTTCTCGGCCCCCCAGAAGCTAGTCAGATCATATGCAAGCAGTTCACTGTAAAGGAAGTGTTTACCTGCAATATTCTTAACAATTATTTTAACACCTTTAACTTCACTGGAAGAATTGAAAAACTGGCCATAACTCCATGAATCTATATTGTCATGCAACGACAACCAATGGGTTCAGAGAATAACCAGCAATACTTATATCTCTTTTAGTGTCACTGCAAGGCAAACCAACCCCAGGGGCAATAAAGGATTAATTCATGTTTTAATTCATTTATTCTTTAATTTATGAATTAACTAATTCAAGACTTTAAGAGAACAGACCAAGACTTCCTGACTTAGCTGATGTGCGTCGCCATAGTTTGCATTTCAACAAAAGCAAAGATAGTCAGCTAAACTGGTTTGCATTGAAAGACGGTTCTGTTATTAATCCATCGTGCAACAATGTGAACAAAAATCCATGGCAGAGAAGATCCATCGAAACTAAAAGACTAAAGCCTTTTTTCACGTATGCACTCCTGATCATTTCTTGAAAAATGTCAGGACAGGCTGCCCCTTATATCTTTCTGAGTTGTCGGTTCACACATACACCTCACAGAGGAGACTTCCCCTATCGTACGTAGGCGATAGTGTTCTCAGGAGGCAGCACATGATGTAAAAAAGGATAATGCAGAAGTGGCGGTCGAGAAAACAGAGTCTGATGCTTTGGTGACAGTTTGTGCCTTTTTATTAATGCTTTGTGTGATTGTATCTATTCACAGTATCAAGAGACGAGTGGCATAGAACATATTTGAAATCAGAAAAGTGTATGAAGCAGCTTCATAAGATTCACCATGATCGCACCAGTTTTTCACCAGTTGGGCGAATGTCATCATTTACACCTTTACACACTTGTAGGGAATTTTCCTGAATATTTCCTGCTGCACTCACACTGATTTTACCTAGAAATTATTCTAGGAGTCTGGCAGGAAAAATCCTGAGTTGAGTTGGGGTGTAAAATGTGTCCATTTTGCACTTAAATGCAGCTCACTCAGAAACTCTCAGGACATTTTCGGAAGTGTTGTGTATGTTTGAAAGCAGTTAGGAATCACAACTGACCTTGACAATGATCCCCTGTCTTGAATACCTGAACTGAGCAGGACAGCACCCATAGTGCATTAAAAAAAACATATTGAGATGATTGCACAAGAACACATTATTTGACTCTTATAGAATGTT